GCACTTTAATGAGAAGGGGCGATGATATCTATGTATAAAAATTTTACAGCAAGATTTTCTAAGGATAATATCAAACACAGACAGCCTGCATGGTAATAACAGGAGTTAAGACTAGATGAACAAATGCAGATTTCTACTATTTCTCTCATATTTGATATGAATTTGGTTTATCCTAGGAGTTGCACCTCAAGCCATCACGGCAATATCTGAAGCCAGTTTTAAGCTGCTACTACTAAAATGAAAGAAGCATGACAACATAAGTGATATAGTCACATGTATCTAAGTTATTTTACTGACTAAAATTTCTAACGTGAGGACATTTAAAGAAAAAAAAGCAACCAAAATATCTCCAAGACATACTACAGTTTAAAAGGAAAACTTACAAAGAACAATATGCAGTGAATGATCTCATTTATGTTAAAATAGAAAACCTTGATCCGCACAAATATATGGAAACGCACAAAAAGAGATGTAAAAGGGCACAAAACCAAATGTTACAGAAGTTACCCTGAAAGAGGGTTCTGAGATGGGGATGGGCTTGAAGAAAGGAAGCAAGCAAGGAGGAGAGGCAGAAAAGGAAGAAGGGGCTAAATTCTTCTGACTGTTCACATTTTTTTAAAAGAAAATATATACGTGTGCTATAGTCTAGTAATACTAAAAGAGACCATAATAATATAGTTGGCAGTATTATTCCTGGTAGAAAAAAGACAATAAAAACACATTAAAAACATGGTAAAAATTTCACTTCATCATTATACTGAAATATAATTGAACTACTTACCTATGAGAAAGAGATTTAAATATTCATTGCCTCCTAAATTAACAGAATTCAAGGAGAAGGAATAGAATCCAAAACATGCTGTGAACCATACCAGCCAAACAGTAAGTGTTCTTGCTCCAATATTCCAGTCATAAAACAGATCGAATAGGTTGTACTTAACTGCAAAAGGCTTAAAAGCAACAGGATCGTGTAGATCCCGTGATAAAATTTCTGACAGCTTACAGGGGCTTGCCCTATTCCACCTGGCCATCTTATCAAGTACTAATTGTGCTTCTTCATATCTTCCCTCTGAGACAAGCCAAAAAGGTGTCTCCGGTAGCATCCAACAGCCAAAGACAAAGGGGAGAGTCGCTGTGGAGAGGATTATCTGATAGGTCCACCAAGATCTGACCAAGTAGCCCGTCAAAGCCACCACCATTGTTCCAATCGCAAAAAAGGAATGTAAATGGATGGATGCCCATGTCCGAGCCTTCATGCCAATAAATTCTGTCACATAGACAAACACCACCACAAGATAGCCACTTGAAACCTGAAAAACAAAGAGGGAAGGGTGGTCCAGATTGAAGATCACATTTGTAATTACTGAGGGGTCTGATTTCTCTGCACATTGCACAGAGACAAGAGCGAAAATGACAAATAACTGTTTTCTGAAAACCCTATCACATTTATAAAAGGGTATTTAACCCAATCCATCCTTCTTCTTTATACGGGTCCTTTCATCTTCTCTCAACCTTCTCTACCCCCAGTGGCAAAACTTGAGAGGTTATGTATGAATAAATTTTAGATACTGCCTTTTGTTTCATTTAATCTTCCTTTATATCGTGAATTTACTTCTCACATAGATAAAATGCACATTCATTTATCTATCTGCAGGAGGTCCTTATTATTAAATCCTAAATTTTAAAATGGCTACTATCAAAAAAAAAAAAATAACAAGTGTTGGCAAGCATGTGGAAAAATTGGAAACTGCGGACTATTGGTGGGAATGTGAAATGATGCAGCTGTTGAGGAAAACAGCATAGGGATGCCTCGAAAAATTAAAAATAGAATTACCATATGATCCAGCAATCCCATTTTAGGTATATACCCAAAAGAATAGAAAGCAAGTGAAGTTTCAAAGAGATATTTGTACATCCATGTTCATAACAGCATTATTCACAGTGGCTAAAATGTGGAAACAACACAAGCATCCAATGACAGATGCATAGATAAGCAAAATGTGGTAAACACATACAATGGAATTATTATTCAGCCATAGAAAGGAAGGAGGAAGGATATTCTGACCTATGCTACCACATGAATGAACTTTGAGAACATAATGCTAAGTGAAATAAGCCAATCACAAAAAGACAAATACTGTATGACTGCATTTAAATGAGGTACCTAGAGTAGTCAAATTTAGAGAGACTATGACAGTGGTTGCTAGAGGATTTGCGGGGAGAGAGAATGGTGAGTTATTGTTTAATGGGTACAGAGTCTCAATTTTGCAAGATGAATGGTAGTGATGCTTGCACAATATGAACATACCTACCATCACCGAACTGTACACCTAAAAATAGTTAAGACGATAAATTTTATGTCGTGTATATTTTACCATAATAAAAAAAATGGGCAAAAAAAAAAAAAAACCCTTTATTTTGAAAAGAGGCCTATCTTTAATTTAACAAAATTTAGATAATAATAGCAATATGTGATCATTCTTGGAATAAACAAATAATGAATCAAATGATAGGTTTTTTTGTGGGGAGGGAGTAGGGGGGAAAGGATTAAAATTTTTCCATCAAAATTATTCCACATTTGACTTTGATAACACAAATCATAGTTAATTTTTGCAAAATTATTCTAGAGCACCACTCATTTCCCTGAAACCCTCTCTTAATCCTCTGATATTTGAATTAATCCCTTTTGAAGGCCTCATTATGTCATTATCCTTGAGAATGTTAATTTCTGCAAAAGTTAACTGGTCTATTTCTGCCAGATCCCAACTGGTCAAGGGATTTGGGTAGGATTTGGGCAGTTTTCCCCCATCGCTTTCAAAGACTCTTCATAATCAAGCATCTTTTGTAAGATCTGCAATTTTGCCTTGCATCAGAGTCACAAAGAAGCTAGCCCACAACCAAGTTCTTGCGATGAGAGAGGACTGGCATGGCAGTAAGCAGGGAGGTGCTTGATAGGGAGTACTGTATTAACGGTAAGGTTTTGCTTTTTTTTCTTTAATGGTGAGTTTAATATTCTTGTGACAACAGCTTTTATTTCCCTACGCAACCTTGTACTTGCAGTAATACTTAGATAATGAGGACTCAGAAGTCTGAAAATGAGGACTCCAGTATCCAAGAATCTAGTTGTTTGGTAAATGTTTGCTGCTGTTTCGGCAAACAAAGAAAAATTATGATAACCTTCATATACTACGAATTTCTCCATTAAGTTAAGCTGTAACTTCAGTTCCCGACACCGTTTTTTTAATGCTAATTCTTTCTGAGTCCACTCCCACTGCTTACCGGTTACTTCAGTCCCTGGATTCAGACAATCCGTACAACTGACTAAATAATCTCAAAAGACATCTTGATCTCTTCGAAACTGTCACTTCCACTCATAATATTCTATTCCTCACATCTACCCTGACCCCATCCCCAAAGAGCAGCCAGAACGACCACCTCACCTCACCTGAACTCCTTTGGTGAATTTCCATTGCCTTTAGGACATCGAGCAAACGCTTTATCACCCTACAAGGCTCTGCCTAATCATCCCTCTCCTCCTTCAGGCTCATCATTGTATTTTACCTCCTCTTCATTCTCCAGACATCTGGACTTTCAATTCCTTCTCATCTCAGGACTTTCTCACTTGCTGCTCTCTCTGCTCTTCTCTCAATCATCCCTCAACCATCCCTCGGAACTAAAAAGCTTCTAATGCTCCAGATTCCCCACACACACCCCCACCACGCGGGGGGAGGGGGGGGAGAGGGGGCGGACACCCCACCACTGTTATGCCACCATTGTCAACAACATTGTATGTATTTCTGAAGATAGCCCATCAATGTCTTGCCTTCCCACCACATGACAGGGTTACTGAAACAGCCTAGTTTGGTTTACTTGGCATTTCACTCTGTAGGGAGATCAATAAATGTGCTGAGTACATGAATCCGCCTGCATCTGCCCTACTCAGAATTCTACCACAAACACATTTCCCATGAAAATCAAAGGAAAGAGCCACAGAAAATTAAGGCCACATTTTACAGATATATTCTACTGGTGGCTGTCTCATTTTCTCAGCTCTGGAAACCAATATGTGGTATTCTGCTAGACTGAAACAGGTATTTTATCCTCTGACGTCTTCCAAAAGAGGACTCCCATACTCTCAATACCTGTGCCTCTCCTGAACCATCATTCCCACCCCAAGGCCTCTTATCAAATCTCACTCTGCAGTTACAGAACCATTTCCTCTTACTCTGTCCTCAGTGGAGACAAAACTGCTGGCTGTTATCTCTTCTATTAAAAATTCCTTTCCTTCATAAATAAATAAATATACTGTTTTACTTTTTCTTTTTTTAAGATGCAATACTTTCAAGTCTATTTTTTTTTTTTTTAATCCTTGGTCTTCTGTGTGGCTTCCTAGAAACCCGTTTCCAGCAATCAGTAAAGACTCCAAAACTGAACATACCGCCTTGCTCTCTGAGGGGTGCAGCGACCTCTGCTCTGAGACTGTAGTCCCTGGCTCTTCCCTGGACCCTTGGATCACCTGTCCTGTTGAGAGGGAATGCATGCCCTTCTCTGCGCTCAGCAAGATGACAAGCTCTTCCCACAGATAGAAACTTCACTCCATTATCCTTGATCATCAGTGACCTGCTGCTGTCTGGTAGTTTGGAACCTGTCTGAGCCTTACCCAATGTGAAAGTGATGTCCTCGCTCACTACTTTCAATAACAGCCACCATTGTATGAAACACCTACTCCATGTCTGGTGCTGTACCGCAAATGTTTACTCTAATCTCATTGAATCCTGATAACAACCCATAAAGTAGCTATTATTTTCTATAGTTCAGTTTATAAACTAAGGCTCAGAGGATAACATGTTTCCCAAGGTCACATGGCTAAGAAGCCAATATATGACAAAGCTGTATTCAAACTCATGCCCTTCCCATTAGACATCCCTATTCCTCATAACAGAAAAGCTTAATGCCTTCTTGGTTTCATTCTTACTGCACACTATACAAATGACTTTCTTAACAATACACCTTAATCATCTGTTTGGCTCATACATACAGGGCCTGACAGGATCAATAAAATTAATTGCTTGGGAATAAAATAATGCCTTAGTAATTGTGGAATGTGGATCATGTGCCAAGCATAGAGTCAAACAAAAAGTTTCTGCCTAGTTAGCAACAATTTTTCATTTTAATGAGTTCCATTCTAAACAGAGGGCATTAGTATTCCACAGAAAAACTTCTGCAGGGGAGCAGACAAAGGTTAATCCTTTCTCTCTCTCCCTAGATTCTATATGAGCAAATCTAAGAGAGTTAAAGTTTAACATGAAAATACTGCAGTAGAATTAAAAAGGTTTAAAAAAAAAAAACCACACAACTCACAACAGCAAGAAGAAAGCGTGTGACTATGAAGCTGTAATAATCAAATGTGAACGCCACTGCTATGCCAAAGAAATACATGCCGATGCTTGTGGACCACATGACCAGTCGTCTCCCGACCCTGAAAAAGAAGAATCAACAGCGGAAGAAGCAAGGTATAGTTGTAACAGTTTAAGCATCCATCCAGTTCATAAAAGATTAGTGTTACCAATATTTTTAATAGCTTATGTATTTGGTTGTTACGATTCATTCATTTATTTTGGGTGATTCATGAGTAAACACGGGATTTCTTCAAGAGGCCGTTCTTTCCGTGGAGAGGCCTCTATCTAAGCTGCTAACATACACATATGATCACTCAGGGGGGATCCCCAGAAGACCTCCTAACCTAAGATTTCTGGTAAGAGGAGGGATAGTTTGTCCTTTCTCTCCCAAGACTTCTACTCTCTGACCTGTTGGATCATCTTCTCTGCAAGGCTGGCCCTGCCCAGCAACGGTGACGCAGCTTTTGCTAAGTCCCTCTAAAGATAGAGGTCTTGCTACATTCTGTTTCTAGAATAAGGTGCTTACTTGCCTTATATTTTTATAACTGAGAGGGGTATTTCTTTGTCTGAAAAACAAACAAATAACAAACATTATATTCCTAACAGGTTTTTAAAAATTGATATGTAATTCAAATGCCATAAAATTCAACTTTTTAAAGTATACAATGCAGTGGCTTTTGGTGTATTCACAGAGTTGTGAAACTTTCCTTACTATTTAATTCCAGGACATTTTCATCACTCCAAAAAGAAACTGCACCCAGGAGCTATCATTCCCCACTCGGAGCTCCCTCCAGCCCTTGACAAACACTTATCTACTTTCCATATCTATAGTCTATTCTGGACATTTTATATAAATGAAGTCACACAAAATACGACCTTTTGTGTCTGGCTTCTTTTACTTAACATTATGTTTTCGAGGTTCATCTGTGCTGTATAGCATGTATCAGCACTTCCTTTTTATGACTGACTAGCATTTCGTTGTATGGATATACCACATTTCGTTGATTTATCAGTTAATGGACATTTGGATTGTTTTCACTTTTTGATTATTATGAATACTGCTGCCATAAACATTCCTAAGCAAGATTTGTGTGAACTTATGTTTTCAGATCTCTTGGGTATACACCAAAGAATAGAATTGCTGGGTCGTATGATAACTCTATGTTTGAACTTTTAGAGGAACTGACAGTTTTTCAAGGCGGCTGCCCCTTGGGAAAAAAAAAACCACACAATCCCACCGGCAATGTATGAGGGTCTCAATTTCTCCACATCCTCCACAGCACTCATTATTGTCTGTCTTTTTTATTATTGCCATCCCAGTGCATATGCATGGGTATCTCATTGTGGTTATGATTTGTATTTCCCTAAGGAATAAGGATGTGGAGCATGTTTATATGTGCTTACTGGACATTTGTATATATTCTTTAGAAAAATATCTATCCAAATCCTTTTGCCCATTTTTAAATTGGGTTGTCTCCTGGATACTAGACCCGTATTAGATATATGACTTGCAAATATTTTCTCCCTGTGAGTTGTCTCCAGGAGATAGTTATAAGGCAAAAGAATATAGTCCTGAGATTCCAACCAACAGGTTTGCCCAGTATAGCAGAGAATATACGAGCAATTAGGAAACTGTCATCTTCATGTCCTCAGCCTTCTCTGCTCCCACACACACTAGTAGGATTGTTGGCCCTCCACATGAATGTTCCCTAATGTCTTTAAAGCCTCAAATGCCATTTAAAACTATTTTTTTTACTCATCCCTTATCAACTCCCTCTATCACCCTCAACGTCTTCACTCTCAGCAGATGAGCGGCCATCTCCTGCAGGGAACAGAGACCATCAAAGAGAGAACCCCACAAATTCCTGCTCTGACAAATTGGCAACACAACCTGCATCTGCATTCGACCTACTTTTCCCCCCACCACCTTGCTAAAGACACTTACCCGTTTCTCTCCAAATTCCATTTTGCAACCTTCGTATTGGATCATGCCTCTTCCCACCTCCTCTGAGACCTTATTCTACCAATTATTTCTTTCTCTTCTACCTTCCCCTCTCTTCTGACTCCTTCTTTTCACTTTAAGTCTCTTCCAGCCAAAGACAAGAATCTTCCCTGGACCCCATCACTCCTACAGCCACCTTGCATCTTGCATTTCCTCCACTGACAGGCTTATCGGAAGGGAATATCCACTTAACTCCTACAGTTCTGTCAACGACCACCAGGTTGCAACTGCTCTTTCTGAGATGGCTTTATACAGAATTGTAATGGCTACAGACAATGACTTTTTTTTCCTTCCTTTCCCCTGATGTCTTTCTCCCTCCCTCTCCTCTCTCATCTCTTTTTCTGTCTCTCTTCTGCTTTACAGTACTGGCCAGAATCTCCATTACAATACTAAGTGGAAGTGGGATTTCACACATCCTTGTCTGTTCCTGACCTCAAAGGAAAAGTTTTTACCTTTCACAGTTAAGAAGTTCATGGTAGATCTTTTAGTAGATACCCATTATCAGGTTAAGGACATTCTTCTATTTTTAGTTTTATCATTAATGGGTTTTGATATTTATCAAATGCTTTTCCTGTATTTATTGAGTTGGTAACATGAATTTTGTCCTCTAATCTGTTAATGTGATAACTTCCACTGAATAGTTTCTAATATCGAATATGTTCCAGACCTTATCCCCCTGCCTCCATGAATTTTAATCTCATATTTTCCAACTCTTTGTCTCTCTCAGTTTTAATAATGATGATTTTTCTGAGCTATCATCCATTTTACTAATTCTTTCTTTAGCTGTGTATAATAGGTTAAAAGTACCCAGGAAGTTAGTCATTTTTTATTTCTAGATGTTCCAGGTAGTTATTCTTCGATTTTATGTCATTTTAAAATACAATTTCCAGACTTTTGTCAATGTTTTAAAATGTGTCTTCTATTTCTTTAAGAATGGGAAACATAGTTACTTCATTATTTATGCCCGAGAATACCAGCATTTAAGCCTTTGTGTAGAAATTTGCCTCTGTGGCCTACTACCGCCAGGCTACACCTCTTAAAAAGCAAGTCTATTTAACGAATAAAAAACATTCAAAGTAATAACTAGTATCTGTTGACTGGTTATATGTCTAAGGTAATTTTTTGTATTAATTTTTCCACTAAACCTTAGAGGTGGGTGCTACCATTTTCACCTCTAGGTTATAAACAAGACTCCAAAACACAGGTTAGACAATTTGCCCAGGGTCCACAGAGAATTAGAAGAACTAGGATTTGAACACAGGCAGACTCTATTCAGAACCCACCCTCTTACCACTCTGTTATTTTGTGTCTGTACTTTAACAGAGCAACAAAGAGGTGGGTATTTAGGAAGGAGGCATGAAAATGACTAAAGTTTGAGCATAATTCCCTATCCCTTAAGAAAACCAGATAGGAAAATGAACCATGCACAGAAACAATTCAAAGTATTTCATTTTACCTGTCAGAAAGATAGCCAAAAACCAGCGCTCCCAGCAGAACTCCAAACATAAATGTGGGCTGGACCAGCGATCCATACCATTCTCGATTACAGACTAGATCCCACTGAGTCACCACGGTGTTGTCCCATTTGCTCCTGTCATAGATGAAGCCATCCAAGCAAGGATAGGAACTCTTAAGGCCATCGTAAACAAAGTTCCAATTGGAGTTGTTTTCCCTCCGGTACCTGTAACACCCTGTGAGCTCCCAAACATCCCCATCGTGGAGCTTCACTACAACGTAATCTCCATGGCTTGTGGAAAACTGAGTCCAGATGTCGTCCAACCTCCGAACTGAGGTATTGTGGAAAATAATCTGACTCACGTTGCCTGGGGGCCTGCAGGTATGCTTAGGGTGCACTGTCATAAACACAGAAGCCAAGTAGTGGATACCACAAGCAGTGTTCTGGATGGCACACGTAAAATAGAGAAACACCTGGAATCTGAAAAGAGAAGAAAAGCAAGTCCTTATATCTGGCCTCCATGCTAAAAAAGAATCTAAGCAAATATGAAGGGTCTCTATTGTGTTTAGCTTAATATATGTATGGATAGACAACACAGAAACAATTACAGATATGTTTGTATACACAGGTTAATATATACATATACGTTTTATATACTTATAAAACATGGCTCTATCTGTTGAGATGGCCGAGAAGCAATGACCCAAGAGTAACAAGCACACCCACTGCCCAGAGCTTGATTTCTAAATACTGTTCTCCATTAAAAGGAGCCAGGAAAAAATGGTTGATTCTAAGACCAGGAGAGGGAGAATACAAAATAAGCCTAGAGCATCTTGTAATATCAGAAAGGAAGTGCTCGAAATACAAAAAGATGGGGGCAGGTCAAGGGAATACAGAAAGAGCTCCAGGTGACCAAAATTAAAACAATTTGAACAACAAAATAAAAAACCTAGTATGCCCCAAAGTATAAAATAAATACGTGAATCCATACTGTGATGGTTAATTTATGTGTCAGCTTGACTGGGCCAAGGATGCCCATATAAGTGGTAAAACATTATTTCTGGGTATGTCTGTGAGGGTGTCTCTGGAGGAGATTAGCATTTGAACCAGTAGACTGAGTAAAGAAAATGGCCCTCGTCAATAGGGGTGGGCATCATCCAATCTGTTGCAGACCTAAATAGAATAAAAAGGCCAAGAAAGGATAAATTCACTCTCTCTGCTTGGTCTGTGACATCATCTTTTCCCGCCCTCGGACATTGGTGTCCCAGGTTCTTGAATTTTCAGACTCAGACTGGGACTTACACCACCAGCCCTTTGATTCTCAGGTTTTTGGACTCAGACCAAATTACACTTCTGGCTTTTCTGTGTCCCCAGCTTGCAGATATAAATTCACCTCCATAATCATATTAACCAATTCCTATAATAAATCTCCTCTTATCTATATCTGTGTACAATATATACACTTATATCTATAAAAATATATACGTATATGTTTATGTATCCTATTGCTTCTGTTTCTCTTGAGAATCCTGACAATCTATACTGATATAAATGATTGAACAAATAAATATAAAGGAGAAAAAAGACAAATCTTTCTTACAGTAGAATTCCAACTAACATATATAGATATTCCCACTCTATAGGAGATGGAGCTTAAGTCCCACTCTTTACTCCTCAAGGCCATGTTAGACTTAGTGACTCATTTTCCAAGAATACAGTAGGAAAAGGGGAAAAAGTAGTTAACTGGCAAACACTATCTTAACTAAATGTTGAAGGTTAACATGCCCACTATATCAGATATCGTGTACCCCTCATATGAAGTGATGGATGAACAGGCACTTCACCTCTGTGGCCTTCGTTCCAAACACCGTAACCCCAGTCTAATCATGAGAAAACAACAGATAATCTTAGATTGAGGGGCATCCCACAGGTTGCCTGACCAGTATGCCTAAGGCTGTCAAGGTCATAAAAAAAAAAAAAAACAAGGAAAGACTGAGAAACAGCCACAGATCAGGAGACTGGGGTAACATGACAACTAAATGTAGTGTGTACCCTGGACTGGATCCTAGAACAAGAAAAGAACATTCATGGAAAAACTAGTGAAATCTATATAAAAACTAGAGTTTGGTTAATGGTATTGTACTAATGTCAGTTTCTTGGTTTTGACAAGTACGCCACGGCAACGTAAGACGTTAACAAGGGAAACTGGGTGAGAGGTATACAGGGACTCTATACTATCTTCGCAGCTTTTCTGTAAATCTAAAATTTTTCAAAACTTAAAAGTGTATTCAAAATTTTAATGATCAATTAAAGGTCTCCAAATTTACAGACTCAGACCAACAGTGACGTAGTTTCTAAAATAAAAATTGTCTCACAAGGACGACTGTGCTAACAGGACCACAGGGTAGAATGTATAAAATCTGGACTGCCCCCACAAATTTCACACCTCTGAGATTGAAAGAACAGACCCTGTGGGCAGGTAATTTCATGATTTAGATTTAAAACAGAATCGGTTCAGACCGTGAACATCAACTATAAAACCATTATCACAGGAGTAGAAAACAGGTCCCATCAGATCACACTGAAGTAAAATCACATCAACACATGTGATCCTCATCTCTCCTCCTATTTCCAGGCCTGCCCGCCGCACATGGTCCTGATGCTCCCTCTCACTGGAAGGTGCTTCTGACCATCCCTGAGCATAGCAGTTCTCAAACTTTTTGGTCTCGGGAGCTTTACATTCTTAAATATTTTGAGGATCTCAAGGGGCTTTTCTTTATGAGAGTTATTTAAGTTAGAAATAAAAATGGAGAAAATTAAAAATATTTATTAATCCATTTAAACATAACAACATACAGCTATAGTTTTCAAAACAAAATAAAACAAAATTAGTGAGAAGAGTGGCACAGTTTTACATTGAAAACTTGGATTAATACATCGTCACTAATATTTCAGGAATTTATATGGATTGGTTCCATAAGATGTTCAATAGACAAATGCTGGCTCATTTTTCAAACAGATAATAACTACAGTTGAATAAGCGTATGATTTATTCATAGCAAAAATTTAAGATAGATGAATGTTGTTTTAACATCTTAGAAATTATAAACACTAATAGATTTCTTGTGTTTGATAAACATATCATGCCAAATAAACTAATCTCCCTTTTAAAATAAATAAATGTACTAAGCTAGAAGTTCATGAGTATGTTGTTGATCTTCAGACAAATCTTTCTTAATAAACCTGTGAATGAGAAAAAAAAACTTGGATGAATAGAAGACAGCTAGTTTCTTATATTTGCATCTGCCTTCAAACTGATGACTGTTACTACACGTCATACAGTCTCTGGAAAACTTTATTGTACTTCCATGAGAGAATGAGAGTAAAGAAGGCAACTAACGTGTTAGTCTTACTATGAAAATAGTTTTGGCCTCGTAGACCCCAGAGATCTGTGGATCCCATTCTGAGAACAGCTGGTCTAGTCTGTTCCTTCTCTTCTCTGCACTCCTCCCATTTTCCCTCTACCCTAAATGCCTACTCTACACTTCACCGCCTGCTCTCCCAGGTCCACCTTTGCTATATGCTTCCCTCTTCTTCACTTTCATTCATTTTCTCTCTTCTCTGACCACAATATGCAACTGAACTACCATCTTGTTATTTATGTTGATTTTTTAAAGGACACGGGGTGAATGTTTTCTGTTTCTCTATCCAACAGACAAAAAAGTCCCATAAAAGGTTGAACTCCATAAGGGAGTTCATTCAACTGTAGTTCAGTCACTTTAGTGTCTCCTATAGCACCCAGCATGGTGTGTAGTACAATGTGTAAAGAATGTCATGGAAAACTATACCTTGGGCTGAAAATGAACAGTTCTGAAGTTAACGCATACTCACCCACTACCTCTGGTAAGGAGAGGTGTTCAAGAGGCTAGTGTATCCAAAAACATTTTGACTGGGTTTCCCATTGGTAAAATGAATGTGTGTGTGTGTGTGTGTGTGTGTGTGTGTGTGTGTGTGTGTGTGCATGCACGCGTGCACACAAACATATAAAAGGAGCACATATACATAGACATTCATATAAAACTGAATTTATATGTTGAAATATAAATTCACATATATATTTACGCATAGACATACTTTCATATGTAAAATGGATTTTTTATGGCACTCCAAAGGATCGTCTTTGCCCACCATAAGGTGAACACACTCCATTTTGACGACTATCACAAGTGACAATGCTAGGCAAAGTCACAGAAGCAAAGCTGTGAAATATCAAGTTGGCAATCTCTCCAAGTCCTCAGGGATGACTGCCAAGCTGGTACATGGCCACCGTTCCTCACGTCTCATAGGACCTCATGTAGATAAAAAGTAAAATGGATCAACTTAAAGTGTTGTGGCTATCAGAACGCAACAGGCTGGTGATGCCAGCCACAATTTCAAAGTTGAACTCTGAATCTGGCACTGGCCCCATTGGGCAGTTCGGAGAAAAAAAAACACTCACACACACAAAGCAAAAGACAGGCAGGAATTAAGTTTCTTTTTTCTAGCAGTGAAGGGGAAGGAGAACAAACACACAAATTTCTGTTCTCATGGTCTCTTTGCGATGAGCAGCCAAGAGAAGAGTGTGGAGCCCCAAAGCTTACATCCTTGGGGCTAATGGGAGCCAGCTCTGTTTTTTCAGAAAAGGTGCCCTTGTCAGAAGAAAAATGATTAGAAATCAGCCTCAGTCTATTCCATGAGAGAGGCTGGGCAGGAACGAACGGTGGTGTGAGAAGACAACCCTGAGTTCCTGTGGCTCGAACCACTCCAAAAGGCTAAGATTGAGTGGTGCTCGAACCCTCACCCCTGCAGGTCACAAGCCCCCATGCGCTGGCTGCTGGATGTCACTGTAGAGCCTCAGGGTCAGGCTCTGCCCTTGGCCTACATAGGCTATGCTACCTGTGAGCACTTGGCATGGACATTGGATCACTTGCCCCCAGGTAACAGCCTCCTGCATTCAGGAGGTATTTTTTCCTTCCCTAGCATTTTTTTCAGGAAGCATTTCCCAGCCTTCAAGAATAATCACTAGCTGGAAGGGCTCTGTTAGAGAATTCTATCCAAGTGGTTCAGCCCTATCAGGCAGATTCTAGATGGGCACTGTTCTTAACACAGCAGAGGCCCTATTCCCACCCAGGTTATACCTGTTGCTGTGCTGTACATAACACCTTATTAGGCATTGTCTTGGTCACTGTGCATATTCCACTAACACCTAAAGTTTAAGCACTTTCACATTCATTATCTCATTTAATCATTTCAACACACTTCAGAGTTTGTGGGCTACCTGAAATTTACTGGTCAAAACATCTTTGCATAGCAAATTTCTCGTGTAAATAAAATGGAAAGCTAACCTTACTAAAGAAAATAGTTCACGTTCGCTAATCCTTTTTTTTTAATCAAGCACCTAAGTGTCTCTACCTTGCTATATTAGACTAATGGGTATTATC